CATAGCTAGCTAACCAAATGCTAATAACAACAAAGTTATTGACTGTATGATCAGTATGACAGATCGACACTGGGTTTACAACTAAAACACAGCCACGCAAAAACTGCAGCATGTGTACGGCTCCTTATGGGTACTGCAATTTTTGGAAGTGCCGGAGCGGAGCTGCGTTCTGGTGCTCTCCGTCAGAATTACACCCCTGTCAGACGAGACATATACCACGTGATGACACGTTAGGCTTGTGTTGTGTTCAAGGACCCTGACCTTGGCCAGGAAAAACAGGCACTCACTTGTTTAATTATTTTGCGGTCTAGATTTCTTTAATTTTTTTCTTTTTTGTGTGTTTATAAATTACCTCGAGGGCCACACCAAATGGTCTCGCGGGCCGCATACGGCCCGGGGGCCGGAGGTTCCCCACCCCTGCTTTAGAGGAACATTCAGAAATAGATGCAGAGCCTTGTCTCTACCTCATCCTCCGCCTGTCCCAACTCTTTCTTCAGCTCCTCCACCCTCAGTCGGAGCTTCTTCACTTCGGCCTCGTGGCTCTCCACCCTCCGGTTGGCGTGGGCGAGTTCTACCATCTTCTCTTGGAACTGCTTCTTCAGCTTAGCGTGAACATGGCGAACATCAGCGAGCTCCTATAGAGCAGAGGGGCAGATAGGACAGGGTTAGAGAGACATGTGTGCACCAATCAGCTCCTCTGTTTCATTTACCAGTGAAAATATAAAGATTGACTTCAGCAGTCCGATTGTCTTCATTAGAGGATCTGGTGTTGTACAGAGAGTATAGGAGAGCTGCCCTCTAAACAGAGACACATCGATCTGACAGACCAGCAGCAACATCCAGGGAGGGCTGAGCAGAGGCTGTAATGGCCAGAGAGTAGTAATCAGAGTTTTACTCCACAGGTGAGGGGGGGCTGAGGAAAGTGAACTAATGGCATCATCAATAATGCACCATTGTTACTCACTGCACTTCCATGTACTCTCTGCTGTCTTAGCTAATGGCCCCCCAGACAGAGCAGCTTCCAAGAAACATTTCTACATTTACAGGGCAATAACATGAGACATCTACAGGAACAATAAAAGACAAGCGCAGACGAAGGATCAGGAAATGCCCTTTACTTATTTATTTTGATCTCTGTTTGATCTTTATAATAAATATTTGATTCCTTGAGCTATCAACAGAGAATTAGCTCTAACCTCTTGCTTTATTCCCACTGAGAATACACTGAGTGTTAAGGCCCGGACACACCAAGCCGATTTCGGCCGTCGATAGATGTCTGGCCGTCGATGAGCATCCTGTCGCCCTACTCAGATTGGAGTGTCCCACACCGTCGCCTCTTTTCGGCCGTGCCGACACCTTCCACTCCTGATTGAATATGTTGAATCGGGAGCGGAGGCTGTCGGCAAAATAAATCACTCTGATTGGCTGTTCAGTTTAGCGAATCAGTGCATGAGAAGCGAAACGGAAGTGAGGTACGCAAACAAACGATTAAGAAGGCACACACAGCCACAAGCAACAGTCCAAGGGCTAACACCGCCAGTACCGCACTAAACATGTTTCCGATTATAAGTCGCTATGTGAAACAGTCTGTGATGGACGAGAGTGAAAATGGAACGCACACACTATTTGTTGTTTGTATGTATCACGCAGTCTGTCTTCCGGTTGCCTCTTTTGAATGAGGAATACACACTACCGCCGCCTGCTGGTAAGGAGAGTTATTGCCACCCACGCATGCGCAGTGCGTACGTGCTACTTGGCCGTCTGCTGAAGTCTTTGCGGTGTGTTCCAGTGCGACTGTTTGGCCAAGACGCAGAGACGTGAGGCGACACAACAGTCGGGTCCGTCGGGACGTGTTCTTTGGTGTCAGTTTGGTGTGTCAGGGCCTTTACATGTATTTGATTAGAAGAGAAAGGGTGTGTTTCTGTTTAAATAATATTTCCTAACGCAGGCTCCCCTCCCCCAAAGAGAATATTCACTGATAATCAAGGCAATTACCCGAATGCCACACAAATACTAGTGTAACCCAGAGCAAGATCAAACAAAGAGAGCGGCAGGGTAATGCAGGAGGGAATAATTAAAGGAGGGGGTGGGGTCTGAAGACAGGGAGAGGAGACAGATGAGGAGAGAGGGGGGAGGAAGTAATTGGAGGGGAGTATTTTACAGGACAATAAAAGGTTAGCATGAGAACAAAGAGGAGAGACAGCAGCCTGGGAAGGAGAAAACATTTATAAGATCATTAACGTCTGACATGAGAATGCAGCTTGGGGAAACTTGAAAGATTAGAGACCGGAAAGAGATGAAGACGACCTCTAAATGAAAGAGTCTGACACTGTACTACAGTTTTCTTTGTGTGAAAAAATAACATTATCAAAATGTGTCCTTCCTTAATTTCTGACTTCCCGTTTCCTCTAAAGAGACATAGTTCATTCAGATTGAGCTGGTCACAGTAGTTTCCATCAACATTTGCTCAGACAGGAAGAAATAATGCCTCTAATGAGGACTATTTCCTGCAGCAGATTAATACATATTTGATGCTGTCACCTGGATTTAGATACTTACCAATTATTTATTTTTAATCAACTTTATTAATCATTTTTTTACCATAATTTGTGCATTTTAAGCGTGAACATTTAAGTTTCCAAAATAAAGCATGATGTAACATTTGTGTGATACATCATGTATGCAAAGAAATGGAAAACAACATTTCTGTTAGAGGATTTTAAACGAATATTGGCACTCACAGAATTTTTCAATTTTTCAACTTAACATAGAATAAAAATAGAGGCCAGTGTAAAAATATGAGAATAGGCTACAAATAGGAAAATGATATGTGACACCTAGAGAACACACACACACACACACACACACACACACACACACACACACACACACACACACACACACACACACACACACACACACACACACACACACACACACACACACACACACACACACACACACACACACACACACACACACACACACACACACACACACACACACACACACACACACACACACACACACACACACACACACACACACACACACACACACACACACACACAGATGTATGTGTATGTATGTCTTTGCACACATACAATACATGTGTGTAAGTGTGTGTGGGCAGGAAAGGATGATCTGGTTACCTTCAAATACATACATACCATTTTGTTTTTGTTCATAGTTTTGTGTTTTCTATCAGCTAAGTTGTCATTAAATGGACATTTCCCTAAAGACAAGAATCAAAAGATTGATAAACAAGCTTTGTGAAAATCTGTGTACCTTTGTTTGAATTGTTTTTCTTTTGTAAACCAGTAGGCAGAAAAGCGACTGCAATAGTTCTTTACTTTATGAAATGGTCAAATGATCATCGGAGTGAGGGCCAGAGCTCTCCTAAGCTTTCCCGCTTACTGGTGTTAGAGACCCATTTGAAACAAAGGTACAGGGACTGTGGAAGCTGGGAAGTCCCGCCCACCTTGTTCCTCTCGAACAGCTCGCTCTGGATGGCCTTCATGTCGGTGTCGAGTGCAGAGGCAGCCTGACGCCGCTTCTTGGCCAGCTGCTCCTGCAGGTCTTCAGCCTGGGCCCTCAGCTTCTTGTTGTCTCTCTCCAGGGCCAGTTTGTCCGTCTCCAAGCGCTCCCTGCGTCCCCATTCTGCAGCATTCTCCACCTGCAGCCTCTCCATCTGACAGAGGCCGAGAGCAGAGAGCAGAGAGGCTGAGGACACTGCCCTCATGTGTTCCCATCAGTGAAAACACACTGTAGTCATACAGCCTCCCTACTGAACTGAGAAGCACCAAATGTGGTTACAACAAAGACAGTTCAGAATAACTTAGTTGTTTTGACTTTTACTGAGTAAAAGTACATAAGTATTATCACCAACATTTACTTCAAGTTGTCAATGTATTCATTCTGCAGAAGAAAAGAGTAGAGTTGTGCAGGCTCTGCCATTTGTGATGCTCACTCCAAACACTAATTAAGGTAAAGGGTTATGATTGGACCGTCAGATTTCAGGCTGCTGGAATTCTGTCATAAGTGTAGGTGGGCTCACTGACTCTGCTCCACAGGCAGGGAGAACACTGTAACCATAACGACTAAAGAGTGGCTATTTCATCAAGTTAAAAAAAGGGTTAAACCATAGCTTTCGACAACACTAAATACAGTTAAAAGAAAGGAGGTCCTCCTCCTCCTCCTCCTCCTCACCCTCACCTCAGCCCGGAGCTCGGCTAGTTTCTTGTCCATGCTGGTCCGGGCCCCCAGCTCGTCCTCCAGGTCTTCAGATATGCGGCCCAGTTCATCCTGATGCATCTCTTTTAGCAGGTTCAGCTGCAAGGAGTCAGGAAGGGGGGGGGGGGGGGGGGGGGGGGGGTATTTCAACATTAGAAAGCTTCCTTCCTGATCCACATGAACACCTAATGCATACATTAGATGGTGCTTGATGTTTAAACTATAGCGATGTCTTGTGTGTTACAACAATGAAGGGTAGAGACTCACTATGACTATACCACATTTCTTTCACATTTGTTAATGTTGTCTTTGGTTTGACTCTTCATGGTTTATTGCACTTATTGTAAGTCGCTTTGGATAATAGCGTCAGTTAAATGCCATGTAATGTAATGTCTCAACTTTTTTTCATTGAATTAAAATGTAATAAATGTGTCCTTTTTTGCATCTGGCCTTTTCCCTGTGACATTTGGCTGTTTGCGTCCATTCTATTCTATCCTTGATTTGTTTGGGGAAATGTTACTTTAGTTATGCTCTGAGGAGAGATGGAACAGCATCAGTGATTACTACTTTAATCAAATCAAAAATAGAAGATAACATTGTTTCATATCTCAACAGTTCCAACTTTGCTTGACATTCAGTGTACAGTTAGTTTCCTTTGCTTCTTCAAAGGTGGCCATTTCCAGAAGCAAAGCTCTGCTGTGATGTGGAAGTATCAGGACAACCAGCTGCAGATAAGGATGACCCCCCTCTCTGAGTCTCATCAGACTTCACCCTATCCTGCTCTCATCTCTTCTACGCCCTTATCTTCCCTCCATCACCTCTCCCCTCCTCTCTGTCCCAGCTTGTCCTTCTGCCAGTCTTTACACAACTACTGTGCGTGTGTCCTCTCCTTCCTCTCCTCCCTGCAGCTCTGTGCTGCCCCCCAGTGGTGGAGTACTGCCGTCATGTTTCTGGTAAATGTACTTAAACGTTGCAGGCTATATTTTCAACTGAAATGCATCAATCGGTGCAATGTTTGAGCAAATGCGGAAATAAAAATGTGCTTTTATACATTAAAATGTAATAATAAACACATTGGTTGAAAAGAAAGCATGACTGTTGTCTTCTGGGGGAGACGCTTCCTCTGACGATGTCACTGTCCATGAAATACCTTTGAGTGCAGCTGGAGGACAGGGTGGAGTGGGCCTGGAACATGGGGGTCCTCTACAAGAGGGGCCACAGCCAGTTCTACTTCCTGCGGAGGTTCAGAGGCTTCACTAGTAAATAAAGGCCCCCAAAACCCTTTGAGGACTCTGCGCAGTCAGACCTCGTTCTAAGCGGAAGCATTCATCCTGCTGTCAGTCACAAACACATTTCACACGAGAAACCCGTCCTGTTTTTGGAGCCAGTCTATAGGTGGCCCCTCAGCCCAGACATAAAGAACGGAGGCTGTGACCTGAGGTCCTGGAGGTCTCACCTGTTTGAGGGTCTCCTGTTTGGTCTTGCTGAGCTCCTCATATTTAAACTTCCACTGAGTGAGGTCAGCCTCCAGCCTCTCGATGCTCTTACTCAGAGCCAGCTTGTCACTGGGGGGAGACACAAACACACAGGTTTTCAAAAAATCCATCATACTGTTCTGGGGCCTGAGCGGGTGCTTAGCGAATCTTTTCAACCCTCTATCAGGAATACATAGTTTTCGGGGTGTAGGCAGGTGACCCACAGAGAATACTGCTGGGTGGAGTGATGAAGTAATGGAGTGTGGAGGTGGTGATGGATGGGTCTGTGTTTCTCTTACTCTCTCTCCTTCAGCAGGACCTTCTGGGACTCGTCCAGGCGGAGCTGCAGGGCGTTCAGTTTCCCCGAGTCCTCCTCCCCAGTGCCGAGGTCCTCCCACAGCTGTCTGCTGCGCTCCTGTCGGCTCAGAGTGGAGGATGAGCGGGGGGTGGAGGAGTTCACAGCCCCCCTACTCTCCCAGCACTCCTGAGGGTCACCGTCCGGGGCCCGGGAGTGCAGGACGGACTCCAGCACCTCCAGGTCCTGACGGAGACACAGAGGGAGGAGAGGATGAAGAACGATATGAAGAGAATGGAGCTGATGTTTATCAGAGAGAGAAAGAAGGACTGCATGCTCTCAATTAGCAAGCTACGTTAGCACTACGTTAATGAAACACTTCCTGTTATCAACACTCTTTACTTCATACTGACAGAGGGAGCAACACAGCCTCACAATCACAGGATACTATTCACCTGGTGATGGAAGCCGTTAGTGCGTCTCTCTCCTAGAATAATCTTCTGAGAAGCATTTGCTCTCCTAACATTCCATAACTCCTAACCAATCATCTGACAGGATTAAGGCTCCCTTTCAGTATAGCTCTCATTCCATATAACACTATCTCTTGTATAGACTCATATGAAGCTCCTTGATTTGAAAGGTTGTCAGAAAATACGGCGTCTTGTTCAACAATATGTCTCTCTTCTGTCCTCAGTGTTCCACCCTATCAAAGCGTTTTCATCGAGCAGATCATCTCAGGTTTCTGCCTGAGAACCCTGAAGGGTGGCTCCTCCAGGCCAAACATTTTCACATCTCATTTCCTTTAATGGCTGCTAATCTGCTTTGTCACTACACCGGTATCTATACATCCTAATGTTTGCCCTGCCCAATATCCTCCAGCTCCGGCAGATGTGTAACTTTGATTTAAACATTTGTAGAATACTAAGAGCTTTATTGAGTAGGTGTAACTGTATTAAGGGTTAAACTCGTAACTTTATAACTTAGGGTTTAATGTAATTGACTTAAAAGACAATAACAAATCAGGAGGAAGCCAGTCTAGATTTCCTTTTGAGTGCCACCAGCTGCAGAGAGTTAACTTATTAAAGGGACGTCGCCCCACAGCTGTGAGAACTCAGCAATCAGGTGTCCATCTTAGGTAGCACTTTCCTGGAGCGCCAGCTCCAGCGTCAGACAGGCTAAGACTGGCAAAGACATTAGAGTCCTGCGGGAGTAAGACTGACAAAGACAATAGAGTCCTGCGGGAGTCTCTAAGACTGACAAAGACAATAGAGTCCTGCTGGAGTCACGAGGGAGGCAAAGAGGAGGCAAATCCTACTCTGATTGAGCTAAGTATCGCTGGTGTTTTATTTTCTTTGGTTGTTTAGCCCCTCATGCTATAATCATGTGTATTTTCTCCATTCCTGTTTATGTGTCTTCTCGCAATTATCACTGGCCCCGTGTATCTCGTAATCGCTATAACCGGCCTGCTCTCGTCTATCCCATATGCTCCACTGACATCCAACATCTAGTTTCAGGCGGCCTGTGGAACTGCCAGTCAGCTGTTCCTAAGGCTGACTTCATCTCTGGCTATGCTTCCCTGCAGTCTCTGGATTTCCTTGCTATCACTGAGACGTGGATTACTCCATCCAACACATCCACCCCAGCAGCTCTCTCCACAGCATATTCCTTCTCCCATACACCCAGACCCACTGGCAGAGGAGGTGGCACTGGTCTCCTGCTCTCTCCCAAATGGAGCTTTTCCCTCTTCAAGCTACCTAACTTCACTCCTTCCACCTTTGAATTCCATGCCGTCACAGTAACCCATCCTATACAATTAACCATTGTTGTTCTCTACCGTCCACCAGGCGCCTTGGGGGACTTCTTGGAGGAATTAGATAATCTCCTCTCACACATCCCTGAAACTGGTCCTCCCGCTGTACTTCTCGGAGACTTCAACCTCCAGACGGGGAAGATAGACGAACTAACATCTCTGTTAACCGCCTTTGCTTTCTCACTGTCTCAATTCCCACTAACTCATAAAGCTGGCAATGTCCTTGATCTCATATTCTCAAGGAACTGCACTACTTCTAACCTCTCTGTAAACCCGCTCCACACATCCGATCACTTCTTCATTTCATTCTCTCTACCCCTTTCCAAACATAACAAACTAATCTCTTCTCATCCTGCACCTGTCCGTCGTAACCTTCGTTCCCTCTCCCCCTCTACCTTTGCCTCATCGGTGCTCTCAGCCCTCCCTTCCTCTGACTCGTTCCAACTCCTACCTCCAAACTCTGCTGCAGAGACTCTCCTCTCTACTCTCTCATCCTCTCTGGACTCTCTCTGTCCTCTTACATCTCGGCAGGCTCGTCAGTCCCCTCCTGCTCCCTGGCTAAATGATGCACTGCGTGCTAATATAACTGTCCTTCGGGCAGCAGAGCGGAAATGGTGGAAATCCAAACACCGTGACGACCTCCTAACCTATCAGGCTCTCCTCTCCTCTTTCTCTGCTTCGATCTCTCAGGCAAAAAGCACTTTCTTTCAAGATAAGATCCAATCTTCCTATTCCAATCCCAAAAAACTATGTTCCATCTTCTCCTCCCTCCTGGACCCCCCAAAGCCCCTTCCCCCTCCTCCCTTCTGTCAAGCGACTTTGTTAACCACTTTGAAAAAAAGGTTGATGATATTCGCTCTTCTTTTTCTGACTCACCTTTACTCACCGCTGGGTCACCAGACCCTCCTTCCACCAACACACTAACCTCCTTTTCCCCTCTCTCTCCAAGTGAGGTTCTTACCCTCATTACCTCTGCCCGCCCTACCACCTGTCCTCTGGACCCTATCCCTTCAAACCTCCTTCAGACTATCGCTCCTGATATTCTACCGTTTCTCACCCATTTCATCAACACTTCTCTAACTTCTGGTCACTTTCCAAACAGTCTCAAGGAGGCAAGAGTAAACCCTCTCCTAAAGAAACCCACTCTCAACCCGTCAGATGTTATAAACTACAGGCCTGTCTCTCTCCTCCCGTTCCTGTCTAAAACACTTGAACGCGCTGTCTTTAGACAACTCTCCTGCTATCTCCATCAGAACAACCTTCTGGATCCGCACCAGTTTGGTTTCAAGGCAGGCCACTCCACAGAAACTGCTCTCATTGCTGTCACGGAGGAACTGCACACTGCTAAAGCAGCCTCCCTCTCCTCTGTCATCATCCTTTTGGACCTGTCTGCTGCATTCGGTGAATCATCAGATCCTCCTTCGCACTCTCCAAGCACTTGGAGTTTCAGGCTCTGCACTTTCCCTCCTCACCTCATACCTGAAAGACCGTACCTACAGGGTGACTTGGAGAGGGTCTGAGTCCGACCCTTGTCAATTAACTACAGGGGTCCCTCAGGGCTCTGTTCTTGGTCCCCTCCTCTTTCTCCTTGTACACAAACTCGCTCGGATCAGTCATTAGCCCGCATGGCTTTTCATACCACTGCTACGCTGACGACACCCAATTAATTCTGTCCTTTCCCTGCTCAGAGACCCAGGTCGTTGCACGCATCTCTGCTTGTCTAGCTGACATCTCTCAGTGGATGTCTGATCATCACCTCAAGCTCAACCTTGACAAGACTGAACTGCTTTTCCTTCCGGGAAAAGATTGTCCCACTCTTGACCTAACAATCAACATTGGCACCTCTGTTGTTTCCCCGACTCAGATTGCAAGGAATCTGGGTGTGACCCTAGATAACAACCTGTCCTTCACTGCAAATATAGCTGCTACAACCCGCTGCTGCAGATACACGCTTTACAACATCAGGAGGATGCGTCCCCAGCTGACCCAGAAAGCAACGCAGGTTCTGGTCCAGGCTCTCGTCATCTCACGCCTAGACTACTGCAACTCCCTCCTGGCTGGTCTACCTGCATGTGCCATCCGACCTCTGCAGCTCATCCAGAATGCAGCTGCTCGCCTGGTCTACAACCTTCCTAAATTCTCCCACACCACGCCGCTCCTCCGCTGCCTTCACTGGCTTCCGATAACTGCTAGAATCCACTTCAAGACAATGGTACTTGCGTACCATGCTGCGAATGGATCTGGCCCTTCCTACATCCAGGACATGGTTAAACCGTACACCCCAGCGCGTGCACTCCGCTCTGCATAAACCAAACGGCTCGCTGCACTTTCGCTGCGAAGGGGACCCAAGTTCCCATCAGCAAAAACATGTGGGTTTGCTGTCCTGGCTCCAAGATGGTGGAATGAGCTCCCCATTGACATCAGGACAGCAGATAGCTTACACACCTTCCGTTGCAGACTGAAAACTCATCTCTTTCGACTCCACTTCGAGCGATAGAACTATTAACAAAGCACTTATATACTAATAAAGGGCTGGCTTATCTAAAGCCAGTTGAGTAGCACTTGAAATGTTTTTGCTCTATGAAGCCTGATGTACTTATATGATTCTGTTTTCTTCAAGTTTGTATTTTGTTGGTCGAACGCACTTATTGTAAGTCGCTTTGGATAAAAGCGTCAGCTAAATGCAATGTAATGTAATGTAATGTGTGTGTCTCCCACAGGCTGCATAATGCTGCATGCTTCCTCTAGATAATCACTGAGGTGCCTTTAGGAGTCCCTCATAAATATTTGACTCTGAGACTGAGAGTAGTACAGATATCTGTGGTTGAAGAGTAGAAATGGTGGACCATGTAAGGGGTTCTTTATAGTGTTTAAAGCAAAGCAGCTTTAAACACTATACAGGGTACTTACGGTCATTAAAAACCTGGAAAAGTCTAATTCCAGGCCATGGAAAAGTTATGGAAAACAATATTTTTCATGGAAAAGTCATGGAAATGTAACTAAAGTTGCATCAAATATAATTTATATTTTATCTAATCGCCGAAATAGTAATACTATAATATAATAAATACTGTATAGTAATGAAACGTAAAATGGCATTTAACTGACGAGGTATTTTGCTGGTGAGAGATTTGAGTTGCTTTAGCGTGTAGAAGCTAGTAAGCCTACTATTTGATTTGTTTTAGATAGGCACGACATGTTTCATATGCAGACCTTATTTTCCTGTTCCATGTTAAAATAAACCATATTCAGTGGTACCGCTGAGAAAGAGTTATTTTTTTGGTCATGGAAAATTAGGTAAAGGTCCTGGAGAAGTCATGGAAAAGTCATTGGTGAAAAAGTGTATGAACCCTGACTATAAACACCCCCTCCTGTGTCCTGAAACAAGATACATAATAATCATCTCTGGTTTCTTAGCTATACTGTATAACATAAA